ACTGAAATTGAAAATGCAATAAGAGCTAGAAGGAAACGTTAATGATACCTCCCAGGTTGCAGAGCAAGAAATCAAAGGTGTGGGAAATCTGAGCGAAAGGGCAAGGAGAATGAGAATAAGATTCACAAGACACACCTTCCAAGTCGAGTCCCAGAAAGCTCCTACAGAGGAGAGAGGAGAGAGGAGAGAAATAAGACAGTCATACACAGAAGTAACAGCATTTCCAAGACTGATGAGATGAGTTTGGGGATTCTAAGGGAACTTGCTAGTGCAGACTAGCATAAGTGAAGAAAGATCTAGGCTGACACAGATCATGTAAAGTTCCAGAAGGATCCACACTGACACACAGCATGTTAAGTTTCCAGAAAGATCCACATCAATGCATATCATGAAATTCCAGAAGACCAAGGGTAAAGAGATAATCCTCAAAGGTTTCAAAGAAAAAGAGAAGTCACAGATAGAGACCAAAGTTAGCCAGGTAACAGACTTTTTATTGGCAACACTCAATATTAGATGGCAAATTTTGGGGGGAAATTATTTTGAACCGAAATTCTACTGTCAGTTATACTATCAGTCAAGTGGAGATGGAGAGGAAATGGCTTTCTGAATTGCTTAAACTTAAAATTTGCCTCTTATGGTCCCTTTCTGAGGAGGTTGAGTATTTACTCTAGAAAAACACGAGTAGAAGCCAAAAAAGAAGATGGAAATAACAAGAAATGGAGAAACCTAAATAACAGGAATTTCGGGATGACAGCTGTGCAGCAGGCCAAAATTAAACAGAAATATCCCCAAAATTTCAAAAAGAATGTCTTCATGAAAAAAAAGGAAATGAATCAAGCAATAGAATAATTTAGTGGCTGGATGATTATAACAACATGGTAAAGAAAGTATATATTTCTTTTCTCAGTAAGAGAAAAAAAGTCAATTAGAGACTTTAGGAAAAGCAAACATATTAAAAACAAAATCACAATCCAGATAGGAAGTAAGAGAAAATGAAACGTAGTTTTAAGCTATTGATGAAATGTAAGAAAAGATAATCCACTTGATCTGGGTGCTTGAAATAAGTCTATGTTGAGTGCTACAAGATTTGTGACTTTGGACCTGTATATCTGTCAGGGCTCAACCAGGGCAACAAAACCAGTAAGAGAGATATATTAAGAAATTTATTGCAAGGGTTGGGGTTATGAAAATATGGGGGCTGGCTAGGCAAGTCCAAACTCCAAAGAGCAAGCCATCAGAAGAGGCAGCTGGAACTCTTGGGTGTGAAATGAAGCTTCTGTCCCTGGGGGAAGTTCATCTTCTTCAGGAAAGCCTTAGCTCTGCTCTTAAAGCCCTTCAATTGATTGATTCAGGCCCACCCAGGTAATCCAGGACACTCTCTACTTAAAGTCAACTGATTATGAACTTTAATCACATCTACAAAATGTCTTCACAACAACACCTAGATTTGTGTTTGCTTGACTAACTGGGACCATAGCCTAACCGGGACTGTAGCCTAACCAAGTTGACACCTCAGACCATTGTGCTGTGTAAGAAAGAATTGTAATCCTAGACCACTGTCTGGCTCTGCAGTAAACAAGACTTACACAATCATAATACTGTTAAGTGCATTTGGTTGTTTTTCAGTTTCCAGAAGAAGTTTTTAGGCAAATGATTGTCAGTATTTTTTCAGGGCATAATTTAAACATCATCAACATTGCCAATGTGAAGACATGGATAAGGCTACAAAAAGGGTATCAGGATGCTCAGAGAAGGGTGGTTATTGTAGAAATAGCTGGAGCAGTGGGTGGGGGAGGTAAAGCTGCAAAGAATCTAATCACTCAATAGTTGAGAGCTGGTTAAATGAATTATGGAATATCCATCTCATGAAATACTTTGCTCTGCATAGTTTAAAAATCTTATGTAGCTCTCTCTTTCCAGATATGAGAATTCCAAATTGCACTATTAAGTGAAAAAGCAAAGTACAGATCAACATATTTCATGTGCAAAATGTATGTCTATATATGTGATTTTTTTCTAGACCATACATATACTAACAATACACATGCACACACTTCTAAGTGTATGTATGTATATATGTGCATTTTTTTAGGAAGGTACCCATACAAGGAAACCTTTTAGTTTGACACTTATAGGCAAAGGAATTGGGGTAGATGGAGGAAGAGAAACTTTTATTTTTCATTTTTGGTGCTATTTGGATTTTAAAAATTAATGTACAGGTAATGCCTTTATCGTTATTTTAAGGTTACCAGTGCTAGAATCTGAGTGATGGGATTAAGAATCATTAAAATTTTCTTCCTATTTTCTAGGTTTAAAGAAACACATATAACCTAACAAATATTACCTTAAAATGTTTACTGAACATGTCCCATGAACCCTGGTCGTGCTAAGGTAAATAAGAGCTTCTGCCCCGAAGGAGTGGGAGATACATGTATTCAACCAGAATATTATAAAATATTGTGGTATAATGACAGAGTAAGCATAGGTGTGATGAAAGCATCAAAGTAGCAGACTCTGCAAAGCCCCGATTAGGCACCTGCAGAGTGGAAGGCATCTGGTCCCAGAGGGTCAGAGGAGAGGCTGGGAGAGTGCTGTCTGGAAAGAGGGCATGAGTCAGGGGACTGGACTCTGAACCTGACTCTCATCTATGAAATAGTGGCAAACCACTCATCTCACAGCTTGCATACAGATGACATGAAATTGTGTCTATAGAAAGCCTGACATGTAGTGGCATTTAAATATGAGTGCTTTTCTCCTTCCTCTGACTCATATCTGAAGCTGAGAAACTGCACCAGGTAGAGGTCTCCATCTTTTCTACGTAAAACACTAACAAAACTGCAGAGGTAACTGACGGGCTGGTTAGAGGCAGAGGCGAGCCAAGTGCACAGATCTCCTGACACCGGATGATGTGATTGATGCCAGGAGATGACACAGTCCTCCTTGCGCAGTTCCTACAAGCACAGAGACATTTTATTATCTCCAGTTTTCCCTGTGTTGTGACAGGGCAGTAAGAGGTGGTGCAGAGAGCAGGTGGTTCACAGAGCCCCAGAGCACAGGCTGTCTTCTGCTTTTTTTCCTTTATATTGAAGCATAGTTGATTTACAATGTTGCGTTAGTTTCTGGTGTACAACATAGTGATTTAGTTATACATATATATATTCTTGTTCATATTCTTTTTCATTATAGGTTATTGCAAGATATTGAATGTAGTTCCTGTGCTATGCAAAAGGATCTTGTCATTTATCTATTTAATATACAATAGTTTGTATCTGCTAATCCCAAACTCCTAATTTATCCCTCCCTCCCCTTTCCTTTTGGTAATAATAAGTTTGTTTTCTATGTCTGTGAGTCTCTTTCTGGTTTGTAAATAAGTTCATTTGTATCATTTTTTTTTAGATTCCACATATAAGTGATAACATATGGCATTTTTCTTTCTCTGTCTGACTTACTTCATTTAGTGTGATAATCTCTAGGTCCATCCATGTTGCTGCAAATGGCATTATTCCATTCTTTTTTATGGCTGAATAGTATTCCTGTGTGTGTGTGTGTGTGTGTGTGTGTGTGTGTGTGTGTGTATACACCTCATCTTCTTTATCCAGTCATCTGTTAGTGAACATTTAGGTTGCTTCCATGTCTTGGCTATTGTATGTAGTGCTGTTGTGAATATTGGGGTGCATGTATCTTTTTCAAATGAAAGTTCTCATCTTTTCTGGATATATGCCCAGGAATGGGATTGCTGGATCATATGGTAACTCTATTTTTAGTTTTAAAAGAAATACTCATACTGTTTTCCATAGTGGCTGCACCAAACTGCATTCCCACCAACAGTGTAGGAGGGTTCCCTTTTCTCCACACCCTCTCCAGCATTTGCCATTTATGGACTTTTTAATGGTGGCCATCTTGACTGGTGTGAGGTGATACTCATTGTAGTTTTGATTTACATTTCTCTGATAATTAGCAATATTGAGCATCTCTTCATGTGCCTGTTGACCATTTGTATGTCTTCATTGGAGAATTATCTGTTTTAGGTCTTCTGCCTGTTTTTGATTGGGTTACTTTCTGCCCATTTTTTTGATTGGGTTATTTGTTTTTTTGTTATTGAGTTGTATGAGCTTTTTATATCCTGGAAATTAAGCCCTCGCCAGTCACATCATTTACAAACGTTTTCTCCCAGTCCGTAGGTTATCTTTTCATTTTGTTTATAGTTCCCTTTGCTGTGCAAAACTTTACAAGTTTGATTAGGTCCCATTGGTTTATTTTTGCTTTTGTTTCTGTTGCCTTGTGAGACCTAGGAAAGCACTGCTATGATTTATGTCAGAGGATGTTTTGCCTGTCTTGTCTTCTAGGAGTTTTATGGTGTCCTGTGCTATGCTTAAATCTTTAAGCCATTTTGAGTTTATTTTTGTGTATGATGTGAGGGAATATTCTAATTTCATTGGTTTACATGAGACTATCCAGTTTTCCCACACCACTTGCTGAAGAGACTGTCTCTTCTCTATTGTATATTCTTGCCTCCTTTGTCGAAGATTAACTGGCTGTAGGTGTGTGGCTTTATTCCTGCGCTCTCTGTTCTGTTCCATTGATCCATATGTCTGTTTTTGTGCCAATATCACACCGTTTTGATTACTGTAGCTCTGTAGTACTGTTTGAAGTCTGGGAGGGTATGCCTCCAGGATTGTTCTTTTTCCTATGTATTGCTTTGGCAATTCTGGATCTTTTGTGATTCCATGTAGATTTTAGGATTATTTGTTCTAGTTCTGTAAAAAATGTCCTGGGTAATTTGATAGGAATCATATTAAATCTATAGATTGCTTTGGGTAATATGGCCATTGTAACAATATTAATTCTTCCAATTCAAGAGCATAGATACCTTTCCATTTTTAAAAATCATCTTTAATTTCCTTTATCCACATTTTATAGTTCTCAGCATATGAGTCTTTCGCCTCCTTGGCCTATTTTATTTTATTCCTAAGTATTTTACTGTGTTACTCTTCTTGAAGGAAGGCCAAGCTCCTGGCCTGCAATGAGCTGTCCCCTCTGCAACCCAAGAGCCTTCGGGCTTTACTTAGTCTCTTCCACCCCTCCTGTCCTCAGTGTCAACTAGTCAACAGTGAGCAGAAGTCTCTGATCTTCAGTTCTGGGAGGAACTACTTATGAATGTGTATGATGACGTGTATTACAGCATCTTCATAAAACCAAGTGTGTTCAAATTGTATATGTATCTTAATGAGTTAAAATCTTATGACAGGGGTGCATTTGAGCAATAAGGAAGGGGTCTTCAATTGCTCAGTTTGTAATAGAGTCGAAGGTGAAAAGGCCAGGTCCCCACTTTGTAGCACTCACCCACACAGAGTAGGTGAGGTGGGAGCTCCCAACAGCCAAAGACATCTGAAGAGCTCTTAAGGTCTTAAGAAATTCCAAGGATAGGAGCTAATGAAATAATTGCACTGCACTTCTGAAGGGCAGTCACAGACGAGCTGCACCTAGGAGCCAGCTGGGTATCTGCAGGAGCTAAGCTGACAGAGGGGGCTCTTCAAACACTTCGTACTAATCAGCTAAATTACAGATTACCCTGTAAAGAGGAGTTCCAAATGAATGCGAATTAAATGTTTTTCTGCTTTACAGTTTGCTCTGTATAAAAACCTAGGGTTAAATTTTAGCTGTGCCCATTATTAAACCAAAAGGCTGTCCTTTTTATTAAAAGTGAGTGAAGACTGTGGGATATTTCTGCTGTCTACAGTTCTTAAAGCCTAAAGAAAATTTAACTCCTGGGCTGCCAAAGACCCTTAATGCTTAGGGGATTAATCTCCCACCACCGGACTTCAACCACATCTGCTATCTAAATAGTGACCCATTATACAGGTGTGTTAACAGAGAGCAGTTGAGCATTTTGCCTCTTATGTTACAGCTTCTCAGAGTTCCTTGGTCCAGGATCCTTGGAGCCCAGATTATTCCTGAATCAGCTTGTAGCATGTCTTTTGTGATGAATGTCCCTTCTATTGTGGACAGAATTTGCTATAAACAGGAGGTCAGCTTCTTAATGTGCTTCAGGAGCCAGTATTATGTGCACAATAGGATCAGGGTATATTTACATCAATAACAGTAAGAAATAACATAAATAACAATATTTATGTCAACACTACCGCTTACTGAGCACTCCCTTGTGCAACGC